CAGCGGGAAGAGGAACGGGGCTCCCAACGTTGGTGTCAGCGGGAAGAGGAACGGGCCCCAACGTTGGTGTCAGCGGAAGAGGAACGGGGCTCCCAATGTTGGTGTCAGTGGGAAGAGGAACAGGGCCTCCACGTTGGTGTCAGCGGGAAGAGGAACGGGGCCTCCAACGTTGGTGTCAGCGGGAAGAGGAACGGGGCCCCGACGTTGGTGTGTAAGCGGGAAGAGGAACGGGGCTCCCGACGTTGGTGTCAGCGGGAAGAGGAACAGGGCTCCCGAAGCGGGAAGGGGCCCCCGACGTTGGTGTCAGCGGGAAGAGATAAGGGGCCCCCGACGTTGGTGTCAGCGGGAAGAGATAAGGGGCCCCCGACGTTGGTGTCAGCGGGAAGAGATAAGGGGCCCCCGACGTTGGTGTCAGCGGGGGGCCCCGACGTTGAGCGGGAAGAGATAAGGGGCCCCCGACGTTGGTGTCAGCGGGAAGAGATAAGGGGCCCCCGACGTTGACGTTGGTGTCAGCGGGAAGAGATAAGGGGCCCCCGACGTTGGTGTCAGCGGGGAAGAGATAAGGGGCCCCCGACGTTGGTGTCAGCGGGAAGAGATAAGGGGCCCCCCGAACAGTTGGTGTCAGCGGGAAAGAGAAGGGGCCCCCGACGTTGGTGTCAGCGGGAAGAGATAAGGGGCCCCCGACGTTGGTGTCAGCGGGAAGAGATAAGGGGCCCCGACGTTGGTGTCAGCGGGAAGAGATAAGGGGCCCCCGACGTTGGTGTCAGCGGGAAGAGATAAGGGGCCCCCGGCGTTGGTGTCAGCGGGAAGAGAAAAGGGGGCCCCCGACGTTGGTGTCAGCGGGAAAGAGATAAGGGGCCCCCGACGTTGGTGTCAGCGGGAAGAGATAACGGGGCCCCCGACGTTGGTGTCAGCGGGAAGAGATAAGGGGCCCCCGACGTTGGTGTCAGCGGGAAGAGATAAGGGGCCCCCGACGTTGGTGTCAGCGGGAAGAGATAAGGGGCCCCCGGCGTTGTCAGCGGGAAGAGATGGGCCCCCGACGTTGGCAGCGGGAAGAGATAAGGGGCCCCCGGCGTTGGTGTCAGCGGGAAGAGATAAGGGGCCCCGACGTTGGTGTCAGCGGGAAGAGATAAGGGGCCCCCGACGTTGGTGTCAGCGGGAAGAGATAAGGGGCCCCCGACGTGGTGTCAGTGGGGAAGAGATAAGGGGCCCCCGATGGTGTCAGCGGGAAGAGATAAGGGGCCCTGACGTTGGTGTCAGTGGGAAGAGATAAGGGGCCCTGACGTTGGTGTCAGTGGGAAGAGATAAGGGGCCCTGACGTTGGTGTCAGTGGGAAGAGAAACGGGGCTGCCGAGGTTGGTGTCAGCAGGAAGAGAAATGGGGTCCCATCGTTGGTGTCCATGGGAGGAAATATGCTCCGGTGTTGATGTCAGTGGAAAGACAGGTTCCTCATTGCTGGTGTCAGGCAGGAATAGTGCTTCATATCAGTGGGAGGAATAGTACTCTTAGGGACAAATAAAGACAGGAAAAGGGCCTCATCCATCCTATGGGCCACAGCTAAAACTGCTGCTCTAGACAGAAATGAGCAGTATGGGTGCAGGCCCACTGCAAAGGAGAATTTTAGTTTTCTACAGAATTTTAGTTTTTGTACAGCATACAGACTATGTACTTCCAACCTTTTGGCAACAATTTCTGTTTCAGCATGACAACTCCATGGGTTTGAGTGGCCAGCAAAGAGTCCTGACCTCAACCCTAATGAGCACCTTTGGGATGAACTGGAACGTCGATTGCGAGCCAAGTCTTCTCATCCAACATCAGTATGTGAAATAAATGCTCTTTTTGGTGACTGACCAAAAATTCCCAGACACCATACAAAATGTTCTGGAAAGCCTTCCCAGAAAAGTGGAGGCTATTACAACTGCAAAGGGTGGCACCTCCATGTCATTGTCCATGGTTTTGGAAGAGAATGTCTAAGAAAGGGGTCCGAAACGTGTCTGAGTGTGGTGATCAGGGGTCCGAAACTTGTCCGAAACCGCAAACTTGTCTGAGTGTGGTGATGAAACTTGTCTGAGGGGTGATCCGAAACTTGTCTGAGTGTGGTGATCAGGTCTGAGTGTGGTGATCAGGGTCCGAAACTTGTCTGAGTGTGGTGATCGGGGTCCGCAAACTTTTGGACATAGCGGGTGCTGATCGTTTTTGTCTATAAAGGAAAGTATTGGATCGATTCCTCAGGTGATAGTTTAAATTTTGAGGTTAATAAAGATTGGAAAAGCTTGGTTTTATAGCTAAAAGGATAGGGGAGGAAAAGGTTTAAAGGGCTAGCTCACCTTCACTAAAGAACTGCATATGCAAGTAAGGGGCGTCTGCGGATAAAAACAAACTGGGTCTCTGCAGAAAGCTCCTATAGGTGTAGGCCAAGTATGTACCTCATAGGGCCTGGCTGGAATACTCCTAGGACGTTGCTACTCACTCATTGCTGCTCACCTCCACCATCACAGGAGTGAGCTTTTTTTCTGATTCAGACCCCCTCACATGCTCTCTCTCCTCTGATACAGTATCCCTGAGCTCAGCATTTGAAAGCTCACTCCTGTGATGGAGGAGGTGAGCAGTAACATGTAGGCCTCACGTAGCAACATCCTGGGAGTATTCCAGTCAGGCTTCATGAGGTACATAAATGGCCGACACCTATAGCAAGAGCATTCTTCAACTTTAATCAGAGCTGCAGTTTGTTTTTATCTACAGACACCCCTTATCGGCATAGGCAGCTTTTTGGTAAAGGTGAACTCTCCATCTACGTGCTTGTGAATAGTCCAACGCTGGCCACTCACTAGTAGATTTTCGAATAAACATTCATACAAAAATTCTTTGTATATTTGGTGGGTGGATGAATGTTTTTCAAAAATACTTCAAATTTAGAATGCACTTGGCCGAAAACCAAAATGGACAGTTTTTAAAAAAAATTATATTTGTATATATATTCAGTCAGGTAAAATAATATATATATATATAATATATATATATATAATATATATATATATATATATATATATATATATATATATATATATATATATATATATATATATATATATACAGTCAGGTCCATAAATATTGGAACATTGACACAATTCTAACATTTTTGGCTCTATACACCACCACAATGGATTTGAAAAGAAACAAACAAGATGTGCTTTACCTGCAGACTGTCAGCTTTCATTTGAGGGTATTTACATCCAAATCAGGTGAACGGTGTAGGAATTACAACAGTTTGATTATGTGCCTCCCACTTGTTAAGGGACCAAAAGTAATGGGACAATTGGCTTCTCAGCTGTTCCATGGCTAGGTGTGTGTTATTCCCTCATTATCCCAATTACAATGAGCAGATAAAAGGTCCAGAGTTCATTCCAAGTGTGCTATTTGCATTTGGAATCTGTTGCTGTCAACTCTCAAGATGAGATCCAAAGAGCTGTCACTATCAGTGAAGCAAGCCATCATTAGGCTGAAAAAACTAAATAAACCCATCAGAGAGATAGCAAAAACATTAGGCGTGGCCAAAACAACTGTTTGGAACATTCTTAAAAAGAAGGAATGCACCTGTGAGCTCAGAAACACCAAAAGACCCGAAAGACCACAGAAAACAACTGTGGTGGATGACTGAAGAATTCTTTCCCTGGTGAAGTAAACACCCTTCACAACAGTTGGCCAGATCAAGAACACTCTCCAGGAGGTAGGTGTATGTGTGTCAAAGTCACCAATCAAGAGAAGACTTCACCAGAGTGAATACAGAGGGTTCACCACAAGATGGAAACCATTGGTGAGCCTCAAAACAGGAAGGCCAGATTAGAGTTTGCCAAACGACATGTAAAAAAGCCTTCACAGTTCTGGAACAACATCCTATGGACAGATGAGACCGACATCAACTTGTACCAGAGTGATGGGAAGAGAAGAGTATGGAGAAGGAAAGGAACTGCTCATGATCCTAAGCATACCACCTCATCAGTGAAGCATGGTGGTGGTAGTGTCATGGCGTGGGCATGTATGGCTGTCAGTGGAACTGGTTCTCTTGTATTTATTGATGATGTGACTGCTGACAAAAGCAGCCGGATGAATTGTGAAGTGTTTCGGGAATATTTATCTGCTCATATTCAGCCAAATGCTTCAGAACTCATTGGACTCCGCTTCACAGTGCAGATGGACAATGACCCAAAGCAGACTGCAAAAGCAACCAAAGAGTTTTTTTAAGGGAAAGAAGTGGAATGTTATGCAATGGCCAAGTCAATCACCTGACCTGAATCCGATTGAGCATTTCACTTGCTGAAGACAAAACTGAAGGGAAAATGCCCCAAGAACAAGCAGGAACTGAAGACAGTTGCAGTAGAGGCCTGGCAGAGCATCACCAGGGATGAAACCCAGCGTCTGGTGATGTCTATGCGTTCCAGACTTCAGGCTGTAATTGACTGCAAAGGATTTGCAACCAAGTATTAAAAAGTGAAAGTTTGATTTATGATTATTATTCTGTCCCATTACTTTTGGTTCCTTAACAAGTGGGAGGCACATATGCAAACTGTTGTAATTCCTACACCGTTCACCTGATTTGGATGTAAATACCCTCAAATTAAAGCTGACACTCTACAGTTAAAGCACATCTTGTTCATTTAATTTCAAATCCATTGTGGTGGTGTATAGAGCCAAAAATGTTAGAATTGTGTCGATGTCCCAATATTTATGGACCTGACTGTATATATATATATATATATAATATATATATATAAAAATATTATATATATATATATATATATATATATTATATATATATATATATATATATATATATATATATATATATATATATATATATATATATATATATATACATATATATATATATATACACACATATATATATATACACACACATACATACATATATACAAACACATACATATATGCAAACACACGCACACTATATTGCCGAAAGTATTGGCCCCACCCTCCAAATCATGTGATTCAGGTGTTCCAATCCCCTCCATGGCCCCAGGTGTATACAATCAAGCACCTAGGCATGCAGACGGCTTCTACAAACATTGGTGATAGAATGGGTCGCTCTCAGGAGCTCAGTGACTCCAAGCGTGGTCCCGTGATAGGTGGCCACCTGTGCAATAAGTCCATCCGTGACATTTCCTGGCTACTAAATATTCCACGCTCAACTGTTAGTGGGATTATAACAAAGTGGAAGCAACTGGGAACAACAGCAACTCAGCCACCAAGTGGTAGGCCATGTCACATGACAGAGCGGGGTCAGCGCATGCTGAAGTGCACAGAAGTCGCCAACTTCAGAGCGCTGTGGTAGTTCATTGAGAACTACAAGCTAACAGCCGCTAAGGCTACCAAGGGAGAAAAGGAGAGAAGCGCCTCTGGGGTGGTAACCCGGGTGAAGAGCCGTCATCTTACAAGCTGCTTGAAAAAGGAGCACACTTCCGCCTTCCACGGCCAGCGCATGCTCCGAAACGCGTCGCAGTGCACCCTGGGATCTGACGTCATCACGGCCACGCCGCTGCTGCGTTCCATCCGGATCTGAGGGAGGACGTGCACGCCGGCCGGCCTCACCGCTGTTCCCCTCCAGCCACCACGCTGTTCCAGCCGAGAGCTGACCTCCCCACATCGCAGTAAGATGACGGCTCTTCACCCGGGTCACCACCCCACCGTTCACGATTGTTAACCACGGTATTTAAGCTTATGATTACTTCACACATGTGAGTGTTTCTACTTTTAGACTTGAATAAGAAGACTTATTGCACTTAGAGGCGCTTCTCTCCTTTTTCTCATCTACAGAAGTTGCTACAGCTTATTTGGAAGCCTTGCCCTCAGTGCCACACGGAATCCTACGCTCTTCATACAGTAGCCACTAATACCACCATCACCCCATACTACCATTTCCCAGGACTTTGCAGTGTTTGCGCTGCTACAACCCTTCCTCATTTCTTTTGCTATGGCTATCAGGACCTGTAGTTTTCCAATTCACAAAATACTGTGAATTAGTGACGCAGCCAGGTGGGCGGAGCCCCACACGGCCATGTTTTTTAAAACTTTGACAGCTAACAATAGATCTCCCGCTAGCAGCGGAGTGGGGGCAGGTCCTTTCATAGCATGTTATACCCTGAATAAAGCATGTAAAATGTTATGAAAGGTGAATTTAAAAAAATAAATAATCATTGGCCTTCATTTTGTTGATGTACGTCATTTTAAGTATTGCTAGAGAGTGTTTTTTTTTTTGGGGGGGGGGGGGGGTTAGGGTGCATGTTATCGATTTAGTGTGTAGGGCTAGAGTTTTTTTTTTTTAGTTTTTTTCTTTTGAAGGGTGCATGTGATCAGCACAGGGCCAATCAGCACTGTCCAGGCAGAGGGTCAGGGGTCATGCAGCCTCATAGAACAGTCAGAAGAGAACTAAAACTCCTCCTACAAGATTAACCAGTGTGCTCAGCCAGACACTGATAGAAGTCACAAGACCGCTTTATACTGCTGATGAGAAAAGGGATTTAGCTGTTTATATTTACGAATATAATTGCAGTTTAATGTACTGCGGGAGACCAGATCATGAATGCAGGGTCTAGCCTTAAAACTGTCCCCTCCCCCCTGCTAACCTGTGTAAGAAAGACGTATATGCTTTCCTATTTTAAGGCCTGTCTGATCATATGATCCCGTCAACCAGTGGTGGCTGCAGGGGAGAGTGGGCTTCGACAACGCCTAGTAAAGCCTGGATTGGTGTAGTCACCCATAGGCTCTTATGGCCCATTTGTTCTCTGCACTCCCTCCTCTCCCCTGCAGCTGCTCTGGTTGACACAGGTGAGCGGGCTCATGTGACTGGAGCTGCTGAACATAGGCAAGTAAAAAACATCTCTTCTTTCTTACACGGGTTCGTTAGCTTAAGTGTTCGGAGGAAGAGAGGAAAGGTTTAAGGCTAGTTAGGTGGAAGCTGGAATTACACTAACTTTCCTGCTGCCTGCACTCTGCTCAGCGTTCAAATTTTCATCGGAGGTCAGGAGAAAAACAAACCTTCAGTAATGTTGGCCTCCTGGGTCCACTACGGCCCTCTCCAGTTCCTCCTGCTGACTTCCACGTCACTGATCTACCCTGCAAGGACATGGAGGTCAGGGATTGGAGCCTGCAAGAGCTTTTGAGGGACCCAGTAAGGCTACGTTCACACTAGCGTTGTGTGCAGGCGGCAGAGAGGCGTTTGGGAAGTGTTTTTACCGCTTCCCAAACGCCTCGGACAATTCTGCACATTGCAGCACATGGTGCTGTTCTAACAGGAGTGTTAGCGTCGCGGCAAAACGGACGCCTCTGGACGAGTCAGGAGGCGTTGAAGCCTCCTATTCTAGTCTATGGTGCCGCTGCGCAAATGCCCGGCCGGCGTTTGCGGCGGGGCATTTGCGAAGCAGTAACACTATTTAAACTTCATTATAGCCGTTTGTGGGGCGTTTTTAATGCTCGGCAAACGCCTAGCAACCGCCACTAAACCGTGCATGCGGCGTTTGCAGAGCGTTAAAAATTGCTCCGCAAACGCCGGACCAACGCTTGCCAAACGCTATAGGGACGTTTGGCAAGCGTTGGTAAAACAGTCAAATGTGAACGAGCCCTTAACCTCCTTAGCGATATTCCCGAGTGTAGCTCGGGGTAAAATTTCAATAACAAAAGCGCGGTAACCCCGAGCTACACTCGGGCTTACCATGCGGCGTTCTCTGGGGGTCCCTGCAGCACTTACCTTGTCCTTCGCTCCCACGATGGGTCCCCTGCAGCGTCCCCGGCCATCTCCTCCGGCCGATGCCGGCATCCGGCTTCCGTGTTCCGGTCCCTGTGACGTCGGAATGTACGGGCGGCGGAACCGGCGGGAAATTTGAAATTTTAAAAAAATGACATTTTTGCTGTCATTGCTTTTTCACTGCATTTCACATACATTTTGTCCCGAGTGCTTTGTCCGGCACCCTGCCTGCATTTTGACTGTTCTTTCTGCCTGGAAACTTAGAAAAGTCCATGGCGGCCAAAAAGCGTCCCTTTAGGTCAAAAGCGGTTTTAGAACAGCGATAGTAAATCAGAACCACTTGCAGAATTGAGTGATGATTCGTGGGGGAAATTCGTCATCAGACACTGAAAACGATTCTGCGACTTTGCTCAGCGATGTGCGAATTTGCCTCTGTATTTCAAATTTCAGTGTTTTTGGTTTGATTATATTATTGAATTAAATTTATTATATTATTATTTTTTTATGATTATTTATTAAATTATAATTTATGATTTCGTGTTTCAAGTTTTATCATATCCGGGATGTTTAATAGACTCTTTTTCGGATAGATTTCAGTGAGTTATTCCTAAAAATTACAGCCTACAATAAAAAACTACATATTTCCATGCAAAAAAATGGTACCGCTTTCAGCACAAAAAAATCGAAAAGAATCATACCGCCGAGGAGGTTAAGCAGCGCTCCTGAAAGTGCCAGTTTCCCTGCAAACTGCAGGGGAGGATTTCTATCCAGTGGAGCATCGTCCTGGTGGTGCAGAAAACGTAAGTGTTCCCAGTTTTTATTATAAGTCCTTTCTTTTCAGCAATTTGGAAAACTTGAAATACAAAGCATATCATATAAATACCATCTGGCCTATAACTGATGCGTGGCCTTTCAGACTTTGGTCAGTACACACATACCAGGGCTCCACTGTCACGGCACATTCAGGGACACCAGAGTTCCCATGACAGTCAGAGATGAAATTGAAGATATATTTTAAAATATGGATGACAACACATAAAAAAAAAAAACCATGACTAAAAAAAAAAAAAAAAAAGGCTCTATGTACTCACCTGCACAAAAAAACCGTTGCTTTTGGGGACAGCGCCTAGAGAAGGGGTGGTTGTAATAGCAACCTCTCTAGTCTGTATGACCAAAGGAGTTCTAGAAAAGAAAACACAATAGGAAAAGTTAAAGATAAAAAAAAAAATAGAAAAGTCCCCTGCTACAGAAAAGGAATCTTATTGTCTGTGGAGAAGCAGTGATCTCTCTGCAGAGGTGCCCCCCCCCCCCCTCTTTCCCGCTGAGCCAGATATATAGCTCAACAATCAAGAAAAGCTCAAGGTTCTGACTCCTTGCGCTGAGGGACAGGCAGTGTGTCCGACTTTTGCAGAAACCCACCACTGTTGCACAGAGAGCAATGGTCCTTCTACACAGCATGCTGGCAGGGGACAGGATTCTCTACTGCTTTCCAAAGAAAATCTGTAAGACATCCTTTTGTTTTGATGCACATGAGAGTGTAATCAGCTTAATTTAAACAAAAAAAAAGTTCGGTTGGGCTTTATCACTACGTACTTTAAAAAACGCAGAGGTACAAAATCTAAAAAAAACAAAAGAGAAAAAAAAACAAGAAAAGAAAAAAAAAGGTTCCGAATCGGATCCATCTTTGAAGAAACAAGCTGTCTGCCACTAAAAATTGCAGCTGAAGAGCAGGCACAATAATGTGCCCATTGTCCCCATTGCTAGTCAGAAAAGACCCCTGTGCATCCTCTGATCTGAATTTGCCACAATTCTTTCCTATGAGAACTCTTCAGGGGCTGGTAGGGGCACTCAGTGCCTATGAGAACTCTCACCAGGGCTGGGGAGGGGGGCACTCAGTGCCTATGAGAACTCTCACCAGGGGCTGGGAGGGGCACTCCGTGCCTATGAGAACTCACCAGGGGCTGGGAGGGGCACTCCGTGCCTATGAGAACTCACCAGGGGCCGGTAGGGGCGCTCAGTGCCTATGAGAACTCCTCAGGGGCCGGTAGGGGCGCTCAGTGCCTATGAGAACTCCTCAGGGGCCGGTAGGGGCACTCAGTGTCTATGAAGAACTCCTCAGGGGCGCCGGTAGGGGAGCTCAGTGCCTATGAGAACTCCTCAGGGGCCGGTAGGGGCGCTCAGTGCCTATGAGAACTCCTCAGGGGCCGGGAGGGGCACTCAGTGCCTATGAGAACTCCTCAGGGGGGCACTCAGTGCCTATGAGAACTCACCAGGGGCTGGTAGGGGCACTCAGTGCCTATGAGAACTCACCAGGGGCTGGTAGGGGCACTCAGTGCCTATGAGAACTCACCAGGGGCTGGCAGGGGCACTCGGTGCCTATGAGAACTCCTCAGGGGCTGGTAGGGGCACTCAGTGCCTATGAAGAACTCCTCAGGGGCCGGTAGGGGAGCTCAGTGCCTATGAGAACTCCAGGGGCCGGTAGGGGCGCTCAGTGCCTATGAGAACTCCTCAGGGGCCGGGAGGGG